CCCGCTGTTTTCAAATTTTTCCCGCTATCGCACTTTTAAAAAAGCCAAATCTGACGGCAAAAAAGCGGAAATGACATCACTGAATTTCTCCAGCCACTCCAGCCTTGCTGAAAATACGATTTATCGACATCGAGAAAATTCCATCGATCTATCTAACAAAAGAAAGTCCATCGATACTATCGATATTTCCATCGATGGATTTGCAGCACTAGTGCCGACATTAACTAAAATATTATCGGTAACACGTTCTTTGCAAATTTAATTGATTAGTTTTTATTTGTATTGCATTAATATGTGATAAATACGATGTCATAATTATATTTATTGGTCAACTGATTTAGAAATACTTTTTTTACTATTAATATTAGCAGCTTGTCTATTAAAAAACTTGTAAAAGCAGCCACACACCTCGCGTAAAAATGGCGCAAAATGCACCCAATTGTAAAGACACACAGGTATGTAGATAGTTATTTTTGAAAATGTCTATGTATATAGAATTTCAATTTATTTATTTCGCTGAGTGCTCAATTTGCAGGAAATTCAATTCAAATTGCACGACAAGTTTTTGGCGTTTCGAAAATGCGGCGATCCGCGCAGCAACGTGAATCTATTAGCAGTCTCTAGTAGTCGTGGACTGCTCTTCGCCGGTCATCCCAATGCGCCGGAATTAAAGGGTATTTTCACTATTCCTTGTTAGTTCTTGAAACACTAATCTAAAGTAATCTCTGATTGATAGTCATCATCGTTAAGGATATAGCTGCACACAAGACGAGTGGAAAGCAGCCTTTGGTGCGACTCATCAACCTACCCAATAAACCTAACATCATATCCTGCAGCTCCGATGGAAATCTGCTGGCCATTAACTATACGCAGCCGAATGGCACTAGCATGCTGTCCATATATGCCGTGCAGTCCTTTATGAGTCCCGAGGTGCGAATCGTGTATAATATACGATTAGCTCCCGAGGATAATGTCCTCGGGTTGCAGCTGCTATGGAATCCAGTGCTGCCCAACAGCCTAGCCGTGGTGCTAAGCAACGGAGGATTGGCAATGTATGCCCTAAAGGATGGTGGCAACTTCGAGCTGCATTCGCTGGACAAGAGTCAGCAGGTGAAGTGCGGCTGCTGGTCACCCAAGGGCAAGCAGCTGGTGCTCGGCTTTCCCAGTGGTCGCCTGCAACAATTCAAGCCGGATCTAACACCCGCCAAGACGCTGCCTTGCCCACCTAATGTGCACGATGGTCCCTTCGATACGATTGCCGTGCACTGGTTGTCTACGTTCCAGTTTGCTGTGATTTTCTTGCAGCAGGGCGAGGACTGCAACCCTGCCTTGTACATAGTCAATGCCCCCAAGGCAGGCGTGCCCACCTACACGAACTACTACGACATTTGCTACAGTCTAAATGGACCACGCATTCATCAGTTCCAATTCACGCATGTACCCCAGTGGAATCTTCTCTTGGTTAGCTCGGCAAACGGCGTGGAGGTCGGAGTACTAGGTACCTCGGAGGCGGGCGATACGCCCAGTTGGCAGCAGCTAACGTTGTTGGATGAGGCGCGAATTGAGATGCCGCTGAGCGAAGCTACGCAGGAGGAGACATTCCCATTGGGCTTCGCCATGGACATCTCCAGCACACATCAGCTCAGCATCAACGAGCAACAGCTGCCCACCATGCCCATGGTTCATGTCCTGGGGACCGATGGCACCTTGCTCGCCTTTAACTTTCTCAATCTCCAGTCGGGAGCCGTTTCCATTTGCTCTCCGGCGCCGCCTTTGGCGGACACTTCTGGGAAATTTGTTGCACTGGATGCTCTATTAGGCGCCGGGCCGCAGCCACCAGCAGCTGTGCCAGCAGCAGTTGCAACTGCAGGGCCTGCAGCTCCAGTGGAGGCCAGTACGCCCGCCCCCCTTCAAGACATGTCCTTTGCCTTCACATCCAACATAGTCACGTCCACTCCGGCGCCCACGAAGGATAAGCCGTCGTCGATGTTTGCTGGCTTTGCAGCCAACGAGTCCAACAAAATGCAGTCCACGTTTAGCAGTGGACCCACTGCCTCGCTTAACTTCGGCGCTGCTGCAGCCAATCCGTTGCCTGCGCCCAGCTTCGGCGGCTTTGGAGCTGGCAAGGCTGCAGCCCCAGCATCGACATCTATGTTTAGCCTGCCAGTCGGGGGCAACACTGCCCCAAGCTTAGGCAACTTGAAGGCAGCTGCTCCTGCACAACAGGCCATTCCATCGACCGCGTCTGTTGCCAATAAGGGCAACAGCAACAGCAAACCTCTTTATACAGTGCCCCCTATTTTCACGCCCGCGCCTGCTGCTATCCCGAAGCAGCTGGCGACTGCGAGCAAGAGCTCCGATTTCAGCGTTGGTGAAGTGGACGACGTGATCGTAGAGATCATGAACGTGCAGATTAGTGCGTTCAGTGAACAGATCGAGCAGCAAAAACAGCAGACAAGAGCCCTACTTGCTCAGGTAAGACCTATGCTGCTTCCCGTCTTATGCAATCAAAAAATGTAAACTCATTGATAGATTGAGTCACCATCCACGATCAAGTCTTATGCCAAGCGACTGGAAGATCTGCAAGAGCTAAACGATCAAGCGAACGATGTAGACTTCGAGCTGGATGTTCAGGGTTTGCGTCATGCTCTAAGCGAAGCCTATGTCATGACCGCCGATTGTCGCGCCAAGCTGGAGGTCTTTAAGAAACCAGAGTAAGTGCAGATTGCCAACAGTGATTGCCTGCAATTCCATATATATTTTTTTCCAGCATAACGCGCTTGATGAGTTCCACAAACTTTGATGCAGCTGGACGCCGCATACTATCGCGACTACGGAGCTACTTGGCTGCCAACCAGGCGCAGCTGCAGCTGGTTCAGCAGCAAATTGACGTTCAATGGGAGCAGTACCAGGATGTGCTGCGTCGCAATTCCAAGTCGAAAATGAATATGCCCTGTTTGGAAGGCATCTATCAGCGATTGACGCGCCTGCAGAACTCGACCTCCGATCAGCGCATTCTGCTGAACAACATCAAATCGAAGCTAAAGGAGCGCGGATTGCTGCAGTCCGCCATGCTAAGCCAGGAGTCCAGCCGCAATCGTACTAATGAAGCGTGGGTATACAGTATAGAGAATGTAAATATCGTTGATTATCCTATTGCTTTCGCGACAGCGTCGACACTTTGGCGGACTCCATACTCTCTATGAACTTGAGTCATGTAGTGGACACAAACCGTGCCAAGCTATCTCAGCAGAAGCTGAAAAGCATTCGACAGCTGCTGCAGCAGCGCCCCGTAACCGTCATCCGTCCACAGAGGCCGGATCGTGTGGGTCTAAAGTCTGAAGTGGTTTTGGAGACAAAGCTCAAAGCAGAGCTTAAGAAAAAGGCAGAGGCAGCCGCTGCGCGTGCTAAGCCAGCTGTGGCTCACAAGGCAACTCAGGCAGCTGCTGGAGTGCCCACGCAGCTGGCCAAACCCACAGCCTCCAAACCCACCACCTCCAAGCCAGCAGCCGCTGCTGCCGGTGAGAAGGCGCAGAGCGGTCCTGCTGTGGCACCTGCACTGGCACATACGCCTGCGCCGTCGCCGTTTAGCTTCAGCCAGAGCAGTCCGTTTGTGAAAACCACGACGTCGACGATGACCACGACTACGGTGAGCACTGGTGAAGCTGCACAGCCTAAATCATCATTTTTTGGTGGCGCTGGTGGTGGTGCTGCGCCATTCAGCTTTGGTGGGGCGAAGCCCATGATGCCTTTCGGCGAACACAGTGCGACGACTAAGTCTCAAAGTCCAGCTGCGGCTGCCCCCTCTCCCTTTGCGGGCTTTGGCAATCTCAGTGTCAGTGTAGAAGCAGCCAAGCCTAAGCAACCAGCGACACCCGCCAAGGAAATGAGTGTGAAGCCTGCAGAGACTAAAAAGGATATGCCACCGCCTGTGGATCTGTCAGCCCCCGCGGAATCTGCGAAGACTCAGGCACCAAGCAGCGGTTCAGCGAAAGCTGAGTCAGCTTCTAAGCCCTTTAGCTTCGCTGGCT